ACAAGGTGATCCCTTTTGTAAAAGTGCAATGGCGTAATCACTCAGTTGAAGAAGCTACTTGGGAGCGATAAGTGGAAATGTGAGCCAAGTATCCCTAACTCTTTGAGAAATTCTAAGGTAAACTTTGAGGATGAAATTTATTTTAAGGCCGTAGGTTGTAACGTCCCGAATTTTTACTACTATTTGTTATATTTAAATTTAGAACTTAATTGAGCTATTATTAATGTCTAATGACCTTATTGGTTATTAACCAATAGTTTGAGGACCTAAGTGGAGAGTTATTTTGGAAGTTAGATGAAATCAAGCATAAAACATTTACCAATTGGTCTTGATTAAAAATGATTTATTGACCACATGCATTATTCACACCACATTTCAAGTCAATGTAATTGATTTGGTCACATGCATTATTTACACCAAGTTTTAAGCCAAGTCAATTCATTTGACCACATGATTAAATGTATTTATTTGACCATTTTCATGACAATACACTATTTATGCATTGACCATGTCTAATATCTAGCAATTTCATTTCACTTTTCTACAGAAGGTCAAAGAATTTACTCTATAAATAGGAGACAAACCAAATAGACTATCCCTCATAAACTATTTACACACTTTCCCTATCTGACTCTATCACTTTGTGTCTCCGCCTTATCTTTCTCTTGTGTTTTTAAATATAGTCACACACTTACACAATCATACACGAATACTCAACCTCATACGCGGTCAAGAATATCTCTCCAACAATCGTCCCTTCTATTATTTTTAATTGTCCAGCGAAAGATAAGTTGTGTTTTATGTTTATGGTGGCTAATATTTATGTATGTAATATTTCTACGGCTATATTTTATGTTTTGATCCATATTACGTATATTGTATTCAGAATGGACCGGTGCTTAGTAGTGCTACGCACGAGAATTTAGCACCACCTAAGTTCGGTCTAATTTTCGTGTCTCCCAATGCAAGTTGTAAACTTTTCGTAGAAATACATATATGAATTCATTATCTGCACACACTTATTGAGAATTATTCTCACCCTTTATGTCTCTACTTTTAGATAATTGATGATTCGAGGCGGTCGGCATGTAGATGGCTTTTGGAGGCAAAAGTTTCGATAATAAAATTATTATGTTGTCAAACTATTGTTATTTCATTTGATTTTAAATATTTTAAAATATTTCTCATTTAAGTTAATTTATTAAACTCATTACATTATTTAAATTTTGATAAGTGTTTTAATAATTTATATAATAGTGTTGAATACTCTTTAAATTAGTTTTAGTTTATGATTTTGTCATTAAGATTGTTAAGGGTTCAAGTCGTCACATTAAGGCAAGCTTAGGATTTAATTGGTCTACTTGTGACCCCCCTCTTCACCTAGAAGTCACTTAATTGAGCGTTATTCAAATCAATAAATCGAAAATAATATTACAAACTCACTCCAAATTTAAGAAGATTTTTCGTGAGAAACTTTATTTTCAGAAACATTAAAGAAAATCAATTTTAGAAACCTCTATTTCAAGAATTCCTACATTTTGAAACTTATCTCTTTAGAAACCTCGATTTTAGGAAACTTTTATTTTGGTAAGCGCCTATTCTGAGAAACAACTATCTTATGAAACTTTTATTTCAGAAAATTTTCATTTTAAGAAACATCTATTTTACAAATATTCCCAACTGTTTGACAATGAAAGTTAAGGTAATTTTCGAGGATGAAAATTTATTTTAAGAGCGGTAGATTATATACTCCAAAATTATGAAAATTAGGGGCTTGGTGCAAGAGGATAAAAGTTGGGGGGGGGGGGGTCAAATTGTATATTGGCCAATAGTCGAGGGACTAGAGTGTAATTTTCTGAACTATATATACATACGTATATGATATGAATGTGTGTGTGTGTGTGTGTGTGTGTGTGTGTGTGTGTGTGTGTTTAGTACTATTATATATAGGGAAAATTGGATGGAATTAAGTATTCCTATATGAAAGATAAGTTAGGAAAATTATTTTCTAAATAAGTAAACTAACATATATGTGTGAATATATAATATATATAATTATGATTGATTGATTAAGTTGTACAATTACTATAATTACGTACATTTATATATGTATAATTATGATTTATAATTAAATTATAGTATTACTACAATTACGTGAGTCTATATATGTATAATTATATATGATAATGATTTATTTATTTAAATTATATGATTACTATAATTACGTCCATCGATATATGTATATAATTATATGCAATTATGATTGATTGATTTAAATTATGTGATTACTATGATTACGTGTGTCGATATATATATAATTACGTGTCTTATATGTATAATTATATATATTTAATATCGATTGAGTTAAACTATATTGTTACTATAATTACGTGCATCCATGTATGTATAATTATATGTAGTTATGGTTGATTGATTTAAATTACATGATTACCATAATTACGTACATCTATGTGTGTAACTATGATTGCCTGACACTACACACATGGAGTTTATAAACGATTGCTTGAGGTCAAGTTCTTCCGTACGTAGGTAAGTGTAGTTATACGTTGTATGTTGAATCGTTATTTATATTTTAAAATACGGAATTTTAAGTTATGAATATGATATGAGTCCTATATGTGTAAGTTCAAAGAACCAGAGTTCAATAGTGTTATGTATGAGAATTATAGCAACAAAGTACAATTCTTAATTCTTCGTGTCTCCCTATATATGTTATGTTTTAATGTACTGGGATTATGGCCACCTAGTTCGATTTCTAATCCTCATGTCTCTTTATGTACGTTAAGAATTCCTAAATTTTAAATATGAATTACATTTATGTGATTCATTTATTAGGATTTTATCTCATTATTTATGACTTTCTTCCTTTTAGGTAATTGAGGTTCAAGGCATTGGAGTTTGGAACTGACCACATGTGGTATAATAAAGAGGAGACAATTTATGAAGTTTTAATAATAAATTTTATAATTAAGAAAGTGTTTTTTTTTTAATTATTGTAACTTTGAGAATAATTATCTTTTATGAATGTTCTATTTTTACGATATGTTAACTACTCAAATGGTAAGTTTTGGGTCGTTACAGTTACTACCATCAATGTTGATACCGTGAAAAAGAAAACCTTTGCCCTTGTTACACAAGAACTTGTTTGCGGCAATAAAGGGCTTTGGAGTTTGTTGATACGTATTTTACCAGTTAAGATCATCCATTCCCAAAAGAACATATCATTTAAATCTGCCCAAGGATAAGGCTAAAAGGATCTTTTCACGAGACACAACCATTGTTGTAATTTCATAATATTCCACATTCGCATTTTGATTAAAGAATAATACGAAACAAAAGTAGTTGCCATTTTTTCTGTTAATGTATTGTTGGCATTTCATGCTTATGAATATTCTAGGTGGTCAATTTGATGGCATTTAAAAATCGTAGTGGTTACTCAGCTGGAACTCTTTTTGTCTTAACTATTTTGCATTCAAAAGCCATTGTGATTTCGTGTGTGTGCTGATCTGGAGGAGAATTAGTTGCTACTGCAAATTTCATTGCTTTAACTTTCCTATCTTTTAGTAATAGTCCTTTGCTTCTTAGTCTCGAACTTGAGAGTCCTATATTCATCTGACCCAAAATCTTTAACCTAAAATTTAAGCTGATAATGAGACGATTACTCTTTGGGATGGCTACAAGCTAGAGGTTTAAATTAAAGATGTAGGAGATATTACACCGATAATGTGCATATTATATTAATCAAGAACATACCGTGAAATCGAAATATCATTTAATTTACCGAAATCTGATTTGAGAAGACAAAATAGTGATTACTGACTTCCAATATATGAATATGGATTCATCACTTTCCAATCTTGAATGCTTGTCATTCTTTAATTCAAACCTTGCATGAAATCAAAAGAATATTAGTTACTTTTCGAAATCAAAATACTAAATTAGAATGAAATCGGAAAAGAAAGATGAGATGCAAGTGATGCGATCGGTCGAGGCAAATGTTTGACACTTTGTCCTTAAAATGAATTTGCCCCGCATCGGTGCTAACAGTTTCTCGGCAATCATCTCTCAAGATACAACGACCACGTCAAACCATAGGAGTACTCCAAATGGCTTAGACCAACGAACTCGAACGGAGTTCCCTCTCTACCATAACCATGATTTTGATGCAAGAAATAATAATATCTACAAAGTGGTTTATGCAAAACTAAAGTAAAACATGAAATAGAATGATATGGAACTATCAATTGAATTGTTCCTCTTTCTTGTTGTTAATCCAAATATATGGGGATCTATATATATAGTAGTTGGAACTTCCATACCATTATACACATCTCTTGAAATTTAAATCTCTCCATAAAGAGGCACAATTACATCTCTACATAAAGAGACCATTATTGAAAAATAATGCCAAGAGTCATGATCTCCAAGAGTCATGATCCATATGAAAAGACTCATCTTTTCATCTACTCATTCTCTAAAATATTCCACAATATTCTATACAATTTCCAACAATTTCAAACATTTTAAGTTTGGCTTAATTTCTCATTCACCAAACNTTTTAAGTTTGGTTTAATTTCTCATTCACCTAACAAAAAATTCCACTTAAACAATCACTTAAATTGGTCACAACCAACTTCGAATTTTCCAACAAAAGCATCCTGATGAAGACTTCTTGACTCATGGAAGAGACTAAGTAATAGTGTTCCACGATTCGTCAAGTTACAGTTTTCAATAGTTTGAGTCAGCTCAATGTTGATTACCCTCTAACATAGTGGGTTCTAGAGCAGCTTTTTGATAGAACAAATCTTTGTAAGACAGTGCATCTATGTAGTTTTTATATTCCTTTTTGGGGGTACGAAGTAGCCAAAAGTGTGATATCTAGTTTCTGGTACTTGTGAAACTTGCCTTGATGTTGAGCTACCCATTTTTGTGGTGTCGGGGTGGAAGCCTTGTTACTGTGATTAGAAGAAAATGAAGTTTCAATTCGTTTGAGCTTCTTTTCTTTGTACTGTGGCATACTTTCTTGGTTGGTGTTGGAAGCAATTCCAAGTAGCAATTAGTGCAATGCTTGGCTTATCAAGGGAAGATGACGGAATGAGTTTTGTGTGATTAAAAATTGCAAACTCTACGTTATCTAGTTTCCAAATACCAGTGAAACTTATCTCCTTGGTGGTGGAGTTACCCATTTTGAGATGTCGAGTGGAAGCCTTGTCACTATGCTTAGTGCAAAACAAAGTTTCAAATTGTATGAGTTTCTTGTCTTGTAATCTAGAGAAGTAAACTTCTTGATTTAGTGTTTGTTTTTTGGATTGTAGCAAATAGTGCATAGCAATGCTTGGCTTATCCAAGGAAGATGTTAAAATTGCCGACTCTGTGATATCTAGTTTCTGAATACTCGTGAAACTTACCTCCTTAGTGTTGAGTTTACCCTTTTTTGTAGTGTCGTCGGCGTGGAAGCCTTGTTACTTTGATTAGTGGAAAACGAAGTTTCAATTCGTGTGAGCTTTTTGTCTTACATTTGTGAAGTATACTATCTGGGAACGTTGCCAACACTACAACAAAAATAGCCTACGGCAACGTTTGAACGTGTGTTGCAAATCAAGGTGTTGTCGTAGAGTAGAAAGATACGGCAACGTTTTTTAAACGTTGCCAAAGACCTACGGCAACGTTTAGAAAACGTAAAAAACGTTGCCAAAGACCTATGGCAATGTTTAGAAAACGTTGCCGTAGGTCATATAATTTTTTTTTTAAAAATCAATTTATGTAAATTGATCGACAAAATTGAAAATACTCCTTATGATCAAATTTTAAAATTGCATAAAAATTGATAATTTCATTACAAATTTTTGAATCCATACACTTGAACATTAAAATCTAATACAACATCTCCTAAAAAACAAATTTTAAAATTGCATAAAAAATGATAATTTCATTACAAATTTTTAAATCTATACACTTGAACATTAAAATGTAATACATCACCACCGAAATAAAAAGGAGTTCCAAAATGATTCACCATTCTGTTATCGAAGTCCTCTCCTCCAAGGTGAGTGTCTCCAGTAGTTGCCTTCACCTCAAAGATACCCTCCTCAATGGTAAGAAGAGTGACATCAAAAGTACAACCTCTAAGATAAAAAATAAGCACATTCTTCTCACCAACACTGGTTGCCTTGTCAAGACCATAAGCAATGGCAGCAGCTGTTGGTTCATTGATGATACGCATCACATTCAGACTAGAAATTACACCTGCATCCTTAGTTGCGTGACGTTGGGACTCATTAAAGTATGCTGGGACAGTGACCACAACGTTCTTTACAGTTGAACCATTAAATGCCTCAGCAATTTCTTTCATCTTAATTAAAACCATAGAAGAGATTTCCTCAGCTGCAAATTGCTTCTCTTCACCTTTGTAGTTGACTTCTATCATTGGTTTATCACCTGGTCCGGAGATAAGTTTGAAGGGCCACAATTTGATGTCACTCTGCATAGAGGCATCACTAAATCTCCTACCTATCAACCTCTTGGCATCTGGCAGAATGCATAAAAACATGAAGACCCTATTAATTAATAGAAGCAAAAACAATTTCACCCAATCTAATGTACACAACAAACACAATCATTTTAATAGTAACACATTAGCAAATTTACAGTAAGATTTAGCTCACAGTTGATACACAGCATAACATAAGATTTGCAGAACTGAAACCTTTGGTTAAAAGCTAGAAGAAAAACAACATAAAGCTGACACATGATTTCCTTTATTAACCAAAAATCCATCTTAATGATGAGGAATATAACATATTTGTATCCATGTCTGCAAACAAAACTTTACTTAAAATTAAGTTTTAGTTACTGTTAATCTTAGCCAAACATGCTTTAAGTCATTAGCTTCCACTGGGAAATTTCATCATTCAGTTTTTTATCAATTCTAGAAATCAGAAGGGAGGCCTAGTTTCTGCTGCCCAGGAGCAAAAGTAAAAAAATGTAGAGGAGATATATTCAGGAACTGGACATGGTTTTGGAAATTTGCAATGACAGCAATTGGACAGCATGATATGGCTACAAAGGGCTAAGGGTTTGGAGAGTTGAACAATCTTTCCAGTGAATTTTTTATAGGATACATCTCAACCCAACAGAAAGGTTAATGTGTCCAGTCCAGAATCGGAGTGGCTTCCATCAGGCTGCATAGTAGAAATTGTTAACCATAACTAACCTCTCAATTTGATCTGTAGTTTTAAGTTAGTATTATTATCTGAAGCCCACAAAAAATTGAAAACACATCATGCAGCTAAGGAAGAAGGGTTCAATTGGTTGTGCTGACCCAGAAGCTGGAATGGAGTCCACTTCACTTGCTCGTTCAGGTTTTAAAAAAATGGAGGTTATGATCTTACTACGCATATTAAGTTTTCTACCAAATATGGTCTTCCAGTAAAAAATATTGTGAAATGCAGAGGCTAAACAGTTATGACAAAACTCCTTCCCACTACTCTCACCCAGTTTGAATGCCAAAATTCCTTCCATGTAGCCTCTCGTGATAGAGATGATGCATTTGATTTGACCAAAATGTTAGAACATTTCACATCAGTTTACCCAATTACACACTTAATAGGACCAGGTAGTTTTGAAATCTTTGCACTTAAGTCATCTAGTGACTCAGCCAGAAGGAAGTTGACTGATTTACCACTAGCTCCAATGCCCCGCTTCATTGCTGAAATGGGAAACATTCTCTAAGTCATCAACAAAAACCCTATAAATTTTTTCCCATCCTCTGATTAAACCCAATATTTTTCCCGGCTTCTTGAATCAAAATACCAACAGTCATCAAAATCCTTAAATCCCTAATTAGAGAACCCTAACTCCTAAATTAAAAAATACAGACACAGTCACACAGTGAGGAAAACTGAAACTTACCTCATCAACGGAGTAGGGCGACCGGCGACGGGAGTTGGAACGGGCGGAGCTCGGAAACGGAACGTGTGTGGTGTGGGAGACTGCGGCCTGTGGGCGGGAGACAAAAGAGAGGAGAGGAGAGGAGAAATGATAATGTATTTTGCGGTGGAATGGAGTGGTGGTGGTGGCCGGTGGGAGTTTGAGACAGGATAGAGAGAGAGCCTCGGGCGAGCTCGAGAGTGATATGTGAAGAACCGAGAGAGTTTTCGAGTTTTTTCCTTTTATATTGGAAAAAAAAAAGCTTTCCGCAACGTTTGCAAGGACAAACCGTTGTAAACGTTGCAACTCACTTTTCGCAATGTTTATCACCTTTAGCGATAAACGTTGCGAAAAGTCTCACCTTTAGCAACGTTTGATAAATGTTACTAAAGGTAAAACATTCCGTAACACTCAATAAACGTTGCTAAACGTAACACTCATTAAACGTTGCTAAAGGTGTCTACCGCAACATTTTTCTAAAAAACTATGTCAAAACTCATTTATTAATACCAATGGCAACATTCACTTACTAAAATGTTGCCAAAAGACCCTTTTGGCAACATTTGTGTTGTCACAAATGTTGCCTTTTTAATGTTGCAAATAACTATTTTTGTTGTAGTGCAAGTAGCAAATAGTGCAAGCTTGACTTATTGAGGGAAGATGTCGAAACGAGCTTGTGTGTATGTAGAAACTTTGATTGCATATTTATGTAACAGCTGTAGTAGTAGGTTGGAATGGACAGGCTCCCAAATTTTGATGTCACTATGGACTCTCTGCCCTATTTGGTAAAACATCTCTATGCTTTTAAGATGCTGAGGTATCGATCTCACAATTATTTCCTCATTCAGGAGAAACTACTAACACATTTGTGAGGTAGATTGAGGCTTAGTCCCAAAGAGTAACTCTAGCATTTTTTCATAGTAGTGTTAGTTGGTGTTTTAGTGAATTGGCCAATGGTTGGCGTGGGTTAGATTGGGTCGACGTTGGGCCTAATCTATCATTGAAACCATATGTAGATATTTGATGAGTTAGCAGTTCAAATCTTGAGTTTGGTGAATTAATCTCGAATTTGATGGACACATTTTGAGTTTGATATGCAAAAGTCGAGTATATTAGGTAAATATTGAGTTTGCCATGCAAATATCAAGTTTGAAGTTAGGTAGTTGAATAAATTTGGGATTGCAAGCAATAATTATAAGAGTATAAATATTGTGAGTTGATTTGGGTTGAGTGAAATTGGGTTGGATGTTTAACCCGTACTTTGACATGACCTAATTCAGTTGGGTTACACAGTAATCGACCCAAATTGAGAAGCTTGTGAAAACCAAACCCAAACCGATTTAGATTTGGCCAATTTATTGCTTAGGCGGGGACTTTTGTCCAACCTTACTAGCCAATAAACTGTACAAATGCAATTTTACACCCATAGCATTCTTATATTCTATAGTGTGATATAATGGCGATTTCTTTCCTTTCCTTTCCTTTCCTTCCTTTACTTTTCTTTTACTAACTTTTCGCTGAAATCACTTGCAAGCAACTTAGAAGGTTAAGTTCAAAGAAGAATATGTTAATTCGATTATGTTTCTAATTTGATTTTACAACTATTCCATCAATTTCTCACTCGATTGGTGCACATTTCTTTCACATACTTCTATATCCTCGAGTTCATGTCATTATTATTTTTATTATATCTCAATGCTAACAAATATAAGGCCAAAAAAACTTGAATACAATGAAATGTATAACCATTTACGAACACCATTTATAGGTTCAATATTTCAATTCTCACCTTTTAGGTTGAATAAGAAAGTTTTCGTCTTATGAACATGTGCATTGTAAATAACTGTTTGTTTCTGATTTTAAAAGGTCACTTCATATAGAGTGAGGGCTCACTTCAAAGTGATTGAAGAAGCTTAAATTCTTGATTATGAGATGAGGTTGGACCATAGGACTTGGCTAGTTAAAATGGTTAAAAGTCGTCGTCATCAAAAAATATCATCATGAGTAGAATGTTCTCTAATGACATCAACACTTCCCATGATTGCTAATCAGAGATATGAAGGTGTCACATTGAAGTTACCACCGCCATGATCACCAATAAAAAAAAATGATTGTCTAGGTTTGCAGGTAATGATGACCTATACCAAATGCTATGACCTAGATGTCAATATGATATGATCTGAACTTCTCAACAAATGAATCCTTTTGAATAGGGCGAGGGCACACAATTCAAGGATTGTCATTGTAGTTCGACAAAAAAAAGGGCACAAAGTCTTGAAGCCTATATATAATGAAAGGCCTAAATAAAATGGTTGAGCTAAAATTTTCTTAGTAATACATTATCAAACACCACACAACATAAAATTGCTCTTCTCTTCACAATATTCCAGTAATTTAGCACAAATATTTTGCTAAATTTATCTTAAGTCTATAATTGTTACATCAGTTTAGTCATCAACAGTTTGGCGCTAGAATGTGGCTTTCAATAAGAACGACTTACGATTTTAGTCCTAGAAAACACCCAAAATTAGCTTGTCCCACAAAATGAGTCATTATACAGGATCTAGAAGCCACTTACACAAACATCGATGATGTGAACGTCCCCAGTAATTTCCAAGTCAAAGGCTACACGGAGGTTGAAAATCGCCAGTTAACAGCCATGAGAGAGGTTATTGAATGCCTCAAGAACGCAGTATGATGAATTTAACAAAACCAACCTACCACCACTAAAGTGGTAGAAATTGAGCTGAAATCTCCCGTTCGAGATATGAGTGTACAACAGATCGTTCGAAGAAACTTACACTTCTTAGAAGAAGAGTCCTCTAAAATTAGGAAATATGACATAAAGTACGCTCTACATCGAAAGGGTCGAACCACCAGAATAGTAAGAACTATCTTTAATCGATTAAGGTTGCAGAGCCCATTCAAAGAGATGATTGACCTAATCCAATTTAGAACAAGCTAACTAAAGAGTTAGAGGAAATGCATGAACTAAATTGGCTGAAAAAGCGCATCTCAATCGTGGAAAAATGTTTCAATGGATGATGGAATTCCAATAAGCCTTTCAAAGGCTCAAGAAACAGTAAGCTTAGCCCCTACTCTTCTCTAAGCCAAAAGTTGATGAAAATCTTTCATTGTATTTGGCTGTATTAGAGCACTCCACAAGTCCCATACTTACAATGAGGAGAATGGGGGTACAATACCATGTGTATTACACGACTCCACTATGTAGAACTATGATACTTCTTTATCAAAAAACTAGCCTTTACCTTGATCATATCCATTGGGAAGTTGCGACCTTACTTCTTGGAACACCCTACAGAGGTCTTGAACAACTATCCGTTGAGACAAGCCTTAAACTAAACACCTTAGGTCGATGGTATTGAATGTGTCGAACTAGGTAAATTTGACATCTCTTACAAACCAAATACTACTATCAAAGGTCAAGCCCTAGTTGACTTCATGGCTGAATTAACCTAAGTTCCCGTGAAGTTCGAAAAAAAAGACATCCCTCGGGGGCTATTTTTTGATGAGTTCTCTATCGGAACATTATCAAGGACATAAATTATGTCGATAAGCTTAGACCGTCACCACTTTTGTCAAACATTAAGCTTTAACTTCAAAACTTCTAATAATGAAGCACAAGACGAGGCCATGATTGTCAGTCTAAGAGCTTGTTTGGGAGGGATTTTTGGGGGAAGAATTGATTTTAAATAGTGATATGATGGGAAGTGTGGTTGAAAAAGAAGAAAAAATTATTGATGTGATAGAAAATATTATTTTATTGAAGAATGTATGATTGAAAATGAGAATTGATTTACCGTAGAAAAGTCTAAATCCCTCCCAAACAGGGCTAAGAATGACCAAAGAAAAGAAGATATCCACAGTAATAGTGCATACATCATTAATTAAATTTATAAATACTTTCAAACTAAAGAATTAATGACGACCTATTACCTCCAAGCTGTTCTGAGAGAGTTGAAAATTTTGAAGTCCAAACGTAAGAAAATCCTTAGATGTCAGAATAGTCACGTGAATGCACTAGCCAAGCTTATGACTTGTGAAGGTGTGGAAGAACTCGATAACATTCCACTAAGAAGAATAAGGCACGATGCCATCGAAAACAATAGCATCCGTCATGGACGTAGATCCCAAGCTGGCCTAAATGGATGAAATTATCGATTTCTTAAACGAAGGAAAACCTTGTCTAATGTTACCAAAAAACGTACATGTTGATTTTCGAGCTTGACAACTGAGAATGAACACGAATGTGGTCTTTTGATACCTGAAACAAAGGCGTCGAGATGTGCCATCGTTGCCCCTCCGATGCTTAAGTCAGAGAGGGAATTTGCGTAAATATATGTGCTGAAAATTATGTAAAATGTACCTGGATAATGAATTGGAATGCTTTATTTGATCAATTGATTTATAAGATTTAAGATGTCAAATCAAAGATCATTGGAAAGCACCTCATTCTGTATTATGTTTGGGTTATTTGTACACATTAGAATTAATTGTCCATTTTAGGTCATACAAATATATGAATAATGTTAAGTGTACATTGTTTGGTTAACATCATTATATACATTCCATTGGATTTCAAAAATTTATGGGTGGTGATGCTACCAAAAATTGTAGCTGATGATTCCGAGTTTGATGACTGAGAATGAGCACGAACGAGGTCTTCCGGTACCTGAAACAAAGGCGTCGAGGTGTGTCCTCGTCGCCCCTCCGATGCTTAAGTCAGAGAGGGAATTTGCGAAAATATATGTGCTGAAAATTATGTAAAATGTAC